GTGTTTCTCAACCTTGGCAACTTGAAGATGTCCGGACTTCAACTCCCAGAATTCCCCAGCCAGCTGGCTGGGGAATTCTGGGAGTTGAAGTCCGGGCATCTTCAAGTTGCCAAGGTTGAGAAACACTGCAATAGAGACAGTTTAGTGAATGGTAACAGGGACCGCAAGTTTTATTCTAGAATAATTTCTATACCCCTAAATATAAGTGGATAGTACTTAAATTCAGTATTGCAGAAAGACTCATAAAAATAAGTCACTTGATTGAAAGCAAGCAAGTAAAGGAGACAGTAATTGCTTGAGCTAAAAATTTTGGATATGCCATAGAATTAGATAAATTAGAATGGGATAGAAATATTAAATTGACTATGTCAACTACATATAAATAAAATTTGTGTAAAATGTTTTATAGATGGCATTTTGTACCGGCAAGACTAGCAAAAATGTATAAAGATAGATTTACTAAATGTTGGAAGTGTAATCAATCATCTGGTTCATATTACTATGTGGTGGATATGCCCAAAAGCTAAAAAATATTGGACAAAAATACATACTTGGTTGGAAAAAATGATAAAGCAGAATATAGACTTGAAATCAAGACATTTTTGTTGGGAATTCTACCAGAAAAATATGATAAAAGGACTATATATCTGGTTTTACATATACTAACTGCAGCCAGAATTGTATTTGCACAGCAATGGAACAATGATGGGACTCCAGCAAATGAGAATGTAATTAAGAAAATACTAGAATGCGCAGAAATGGATAAATTAACACTTACTATTAAGGATAAAGAAGAAACTGAATATTTTTTGATATGGGACATATTTTATCAACGGCTAGACAATAGAAACAGAAGTTAGAAAGCAGGAGACATAAAAAGAGGAAATGTTAAGTGTAGAGTTGTTGAAGACGATAATGTTAAGTATTATTGTTATTATATGATTATTATCAAAATTATTGTGATGAATACTATAGCAAATATGTGGATTATGACCGCTTAAAAACAACTGGACCCAGATCGCACACTGTTTTATGGAAATTGATTTTTATATGCTATATAAACAAAATAAATAAAACATTAAAAAAAGATAAGTCAGATGCAACTAAGAGCAAATCACTGGCATTTTTGTAGTAGCCAACACAGAAGCAAAGTGAAAAAAAGGCAGATCATCCATAATCCTGATGGAAAACAGTATTCCTGTAGTTTGGATGATAAAGTTCTCTTCTCGATTCTTTGATGCAACTTTGCTCGTCTTTAAAAAAAAGGTTATGTATTAGTTATCCACGAATGAAAGTTGAAAACCAGATGCCAGAAAGCGTTTTGCATTTCTTTTGCCGGAAAAGTAGTGAGAACCTTCCCACCCAAAAAATCAGGGTTTTTTTGCCTCTACTAAAGTTTCTTTCCTTTTCCACCTCTGACAAACTTCATCCAGCATCTCACTTTGTCCTCTTTTTTCTTTATTCTTT